TTATTTTAACCAAAGTCATTTTCACTAGAAGACGGACTTAGACTCCCTATATTTTCATTTTGAATGCACAGGGTGGATATAGGATGGATTCTGCTCACAAACAAGTTAAAACTACAATTAACAAATACAGACTTTTCCACCCTTACTATAACTCCTTCAACCCTGTTCTATTGGATGAAGAATAGATTAGAACATAATGTCTGTTTCATATATTCTAAGAAGGATTTAGTCCTGGACTTTAACTAGACCAGGGATGGCCAAATTCAGCCCTCAGGTGCCAGTGTTCTGCAACTTAGAAATGTGTCCTTGGCCCAGCACGCCTGAATCTAATGACTGAAATACTTCCTCAATGTGTTGGTTCTCAATAGTCCTGTTAATTTTCTAATTACCTGATTGAAGAACATTAAAGCCGGGACAGACAAAAAGTGTCAGCACACCGGCCCTAGACTGGACCATACTAACCGATTACTATACTTTTATCTAACCTCGATCTTGTTGCATACTTGGTGAGTCTAGTCGAGTGAAGGCTCCACTGCAGAAAACAGGGAATTGTTTCCAGATCTGTATCTGCTGAGGTGTTGGAAACAATTGACTGGAAGGAAATTTCTCCAGGTTATCGTAATACGTGGATAAATACACACACAAAACAACATTTTCCCTTTTTCTTCCACTTCTCTATTACTGGCTGCTTGCTTTTGGTCTGTCACAGACAAAATGAAGGAAAGTTCTAGAAGTATGAATACTGGTTCTAGTCCACCTGGACTGGTTTCTGGTCCTACCTGAAGGTAGGAAGAGGGTGCCAGTGAGTCCATCCTCTGTGACTGGAATCCGTCGGACACCAGGTGCCATGTACCACCGCTCCACTTCCACACCGGCCAGAGGCTCCTGATTCCCAAAGCCCTCACTCAGGTGACCCTTGTAAACAGAGATGGTGACCACCATGGGGGCCAGGACATTCTTCTTCCTCATCCTGTGGGTACAGGGAGAGTCAGCTGTTGGC